ACGCGTCCAATATGGAGGTAAGACCTCCATTTTTGATGTTTTCGATTGAGGTAGGCCGCTGCTCTTGGGTTCTGGGGGGCGACGAAGACAAGGAGGAGGACAGGTTCTTGTTCAACCGTTTCTAGCTTTCTTCTGTGGGCCTCATGGGGACTTTGTGTGTGTATCTGTGGGCGGGGGGGGCCTTTGGGGGGCCTGCGGGGGAGTCTTGGGTTCATTGTTCTAAGTTGCGCCAGCGGGGGACCTTGTCTGTCCTGTAAATGGCGTTCTGTTTTCATATCTGGCGTGGGTTCGATGCGCATTCGACGCGGATCCGGCACAAATTCGACGCAGCTTCGACATGGATTCGACGCGGGTAGCTGCGCGATGGGATAGAAGATTCCCAGCCACGTTCCAAGAGCCGTTAGTTGTCCTGCTTTCGCGGCCCAGGCCCCCCGAAGGATTTGATCTGTCGGGCCTTTCGTGGGCAAACTTGGTGGCCTCTTGGGCAGTCTTGACTTGTTAAAATTGTTTGACGTTTACTGGCGATTTCGGTGTCTTCATCCGGTCCCCAAGGCGCCCCCAGAGACCCCGAGGGGGGCCCGAGCCACATTGGGGCGGTCTGGAGGACTGAATGCTCAACTCGTGTCTGCTGAGTTCCAGACAGAGTCACGTGGGAGGCCCTCGTGCACCATGTGCCGGAGGAGTAGTGTCGGACCTTTATTTGTAAATTGTTGCGTCATTGGCAGCAGTCTCTTGACATCGTTTTCACGTGAAGCCTTCGTCGATCGATGCGTGGTGCCCAGTGGTAAGAGGATTGCTATGACATACCGCCTGCCGCAGAAGGAAATCCAGAATTGTTGACGATGCTGCCCCCCCGCCCTGGCCTTCCAGCCCCTGAGCGCGAGGCCGCAGGGAAACCCCCTCGGCCTGGGGCGCCGGTCTCCTGGCCTCCCCCTCCGTAGGGGTCTCTCCACGGCGGTTCTCCGTCGGCTTCCCCCTGACTCACCAATCTCCGCGGGCGGCCCCCCGGTGGCCGCCGTGGCTTCGTGCCCAATGCCGCCTGGCGCGCGCCCAGCTGGGGCTGACGGCCCGCCCCCGGCCTCCCAGGGCGCCCTTGCTGCTGGGTATCTTGTGGCCCTCCGCCCCCTGGCGCCGTGCCGCCCCCCGTGCCCCCGCCTTAGGCGGCGGCCCTGGGGACTCTCGGCGCTCCCCCCCTGTCTCCTGCTACGAGACCGCCGGAGCGCCCGATGAGTGTCACCGCCGCTTCTGATCTGCGGCGCCTGTCCAGCCACCTTGCCCCGCTCAAGGCGCTGCTCGGGCCTCTCCTTTGCCGTACGGCGGTCGGCCCCTCCCTCGGGTCCCCGTCTGCCCTCTGCGGCTCCGCCGTCTTGGCCCTGCCCCAGCGTGCGAGGCCGCAGGGGAACCCCCTCGGCCCAGGGCGCTGGCATCCGGGCTTCCCCCCCCCCGGCGGGTATTCTCCCCGGCGGTTCTCCGTTATTTCCCGCCAGTTACCCAACTTGCGACCGGTAGTCGTTCCTCGTCGCCACTGGTACCTCGTGCCGCGCGTTCTCTTTACAAGACCTGCGACCGTTAGTCGCCCTCACCTCGCGTTCTCTCTGCTCTACCTGGCCCCGCGCGCGAGGTCGCAGGGAAACCCCTCGGCCCAGGGCGCTGGTCTGCAGGCCTCCCCCTCCGCGGGGGTCTCTCCCTGGCCGTTCTCCGTCGGTTCGGCCCTCGCCTGCCCCACCGTCCGCCTGCTTCACCTGCGGCCCATCCGCAGCCGCTCTGGCCCTGTGTCCAATACCGCCCGGCGCGCGCCCTGCTGGGGCTGTCGGTGCTCGCCGGGCTCCCAGTGCTTCTCCGTCACTGGGCCCCTTGTGGCCCTTCGCCTCTCGGTGCTTGGCCACCCCCCTGCGCCCCGCCAGTCGTGGGGCGTTCGGGGCTCGTTCGTCGCTCTACCATCTCTCCCCGCACGGGGTCGACGGACACCTGGTCCTCCCCCACCGCTCTGCTCATCCCTGTCAGTCCTCAGGCTGAGCTCTCCTGCCACCTGGGCGGCGCGTGCCGCTCGCACCCGCCCTAACGGCACTGCCCCTTCGAGTCCTCTGTCTGGGCCCTCTCGCCACCTTAGCGGCGCGGGCTGCTCGCCTCCGCGATGGCACCCACGGCATGCCCCCTTGCTTCGGTCTGCCGTCCTCTGGCTGTTCCCTCCTGCCATTTGCGGCGTGGTCTGTTCGCCCCCGTCCAGGCTGCCACCCCGACACCCTTCAGTGTCTGGCGATCCGGATCCGTTCCGTTGAGCGCCCGCATGCCTAGTCTTTCCTCTGAGACGGTGGCCTGCTGTCATACGTTCCGCGTCCCTCGTCCTGCCCTGGGCCTGCTGTGCGTTATGGTGGTGGTCTTCCTCGTCAGGAGCGTGATTGGCTACCCGAATTACCGGCTGGTGCTGCACGTCGCCCAGAAGGATTTCTTGGCGTGCGCTCTCCTGCGAGCGGCAGCGAGGCTCGCTTCCTGTTAGCCTTTCCCCTTGCCTTGTCTTGTCTCTTTTCACCTTCCCCTTCCCGTGCACTGATTTAAGCCGTCGCCTCTCTGCTTCGCCCCTTGACGCCGCCCGATCTCTCGCCGCGGTCGCGATCGAAAAAGTACCCCCACCAGCCCATCCAGAAACGATGCCCAAGGGAGTTGAGGTGATCAGGGAAGCGGGGGAGCATGCGGAACAACAAAGGGCGGGGGAAACCGTCCGATACCCCAAGGGGAGGATGGTGGAGGAGAATGAGGAGAAGGAGGAGGAGGGCGAAGAGGAAGAAGGAGGAAGAGACAGTGAACAAGGATGAGGAGGATGAGGAGGAGGATGAGGAGGAGGAGGAGGAGGAGGAGGAGGAGGAGGAGGAGGAGGAAGAGGAGGAGGAGGAGGAGGGGGGGCATCCTGGCGAGCCCAGGGCCGTCTTTGAGCGTCTTGGGTGCCTTGGGGATCCGCTTGAAGCCTCTTGGGGGGTTTCTTGGGAGCCTCTTGGAGGCTTCCTGGGTGCTGGGGCCGTCTGGGCGCCTCTTGGTGCCATTTTGAGGCGCGCTTGGGCGCATTGGGCGCTCCTGGGGAGTTCTTGGAGGAGATCGATCAAACAAGAAGGGTTCGTCAATTACGGCCCCCCAACCGGGAGCTCCAAACGTCGCCTCCTGGGGCGCTGTTGGGGAGCTGTTGGGTCGCTCTTGCGCCGTCTTGGGGCTTTTTCGGGCCTTTCCTGGGGCCTTCTTGGGCCATTTTGGAACCATTTTGAGGCCTCGGATGGCCATCGGAAGCGAAATTGCGAGAACACGGTAACAGGTTTCAGTTGGTTTTGGAAAGATTTGGGCCTTCTCGGGGCCTCTTTGGGGAGCTTTTTGGCCACTTGGAGCCGTTTTGGTGCGGTCTTGGGGCCTCTTGGAACATCATGGAGGCCATTATGAGGCATCTTGGGATATTTGGAGCTATCTTGGAGCTCATCTTGGGCTTCCGAGGCGCTCTTGGAACCATCTTGAGCCATCTTGGACGCCCCAACCCGTCGGGGGACCCCCCCGTCCAGGTCCAGGGGACGGGGTAGGGGGAGGGGTCAAGCTACCCACCCGTCCACAAGCCGTTTAGCTCACTCCCACCCGCCCTCCCAACTCATAAGTCACACCCGAGCCTGAGCATGTTCAGCGGTCGTCTTTGGATGGGCAGCTATTGGGAACCAAAGCCGACCCCAGGCTTGCGACGCATGGGCGAGGTGCGCCACGCGTGCTAGGGGCGCCACGCGCGCCAGGCACCCCTGGGCCCTGGGGCCCGAGCATGCCAGGCACGCCTGGTGCGCCAGATGCGCCACGTGCTCCGAGTGCGCCAGGTGTGCCGCACTCTCCAGCCGCGCCAGGTGCGCCACGTTCGGGGCACGTGCAAAGTGCGTCAGGTGGGCCTGCGCACGTGACAGCACACATCGGGAAACATGTCGGCCCCCACCATCCTTGTCGAAAACCAGTGCCAGTCATTGTGTCTGGTGGGCCTGCGCACAGCAGCCCCCGCGCCCCCCCCGCCGTCTTTATCAACAACCACTTGACAGGTGGCCGCGCACGATCCAGATTTAGCCTCGAGGTGTTTTTTTTTTTGTTGTTGTCAAGGGTGGTATCCCTGCATACAGCAGGGAATCGGAGGTTGGGGGGTGAGTCCGACGTGAAACGAAGACCCCCCTACCGGGAAACCGATTTCGGTTTCGGGTTCGTGTCGTGCGTGCCGTGCGCGCGTGCGGGCGAGGCGAAGCTGCGTGGGCGGGCGATAGGAAACCCTCCTGTGGCTGGGCCGCGGCCGGACCAAACGTAACTCCTCCGGCGGCGAGTGCCCCGCGGTGTCCCGCTGGTGTCCCGCGGGTGTCCCGAAATCCTCCTGCGGTTGGGCCGCGGCCGGACCAAATGATTCTCCTCCGGCGGTTGGTGGCGCGCGGTGTCCCACTAGTGTCCTGGTGGTGTCCCGCCGTGGCTGCGGCGAGCTATCCAATGCAAGTGTACATGCAAACTGACATGCAAACCGGAAAGCACATCGAAATGCAGATCGACATGCAGATCCAAATGCAAATCGTAAGGCGCCGTGGGTTGCGTATAGACAAATCGGCGCCTGCGGCGAGCTTTCCAATGCAAGCCGACATGCACATCGATATGTCGACATGCAAATCGAGATGCAGATCGACAAGCAACTGGTCACCATTCAGTAGACGGCGCACCACAGGCATCGTCAGAACAACAGTCACCACTGTTGCCCATTGTTGGCCCCCCCCAACCTCCTTATCACCCGCAAGGTGGCCGTATAGGTATGCTGACACCCCCGCCGTTTCTGTCACAAACAATACAAAGTGCTCACGGGCGTCACGAACATGACTCCCAGATTTTGCCCCAAGGTGTACTTTGTATGGCTCAAGGCTCAAGCATACTGAGGCGAAAGGGCGTGATCGGCCCTAAGACATTACATCCACTAACAAAAAACAAACTTACGCCACAACGAATTTTTTGTGACCTGAGCCATGGCAAAGAGGTTTGACATCCACTCACCGGCTGGAGGGGCGGCGAAGCAGTCCCGCACCGAGTTCCCCCTGAACACCATGGATGGCGCCGAGGCCGATCCGGAGGTCGAAGTCGTGGAAGACACAGAGGACCAGGACATGAAAGCTATGATGAAAATCGTGATATGAGGAGCGAGGTGATGGCGAAGGAGGCGAGGGACGAGGCGAATTCGGCGAAACAAACAGCATTGGAGGCAAAGATGACGGCTTGTGGGGTGGAGGAGGACATGAAGAGGATCAAGAAGATCATGATAACGAAAGAGTGGATGGAGGAGGCGATCAGGGCCTTCGGGAAAACTACAACTGAGGAGGAGATTACACGAATGATTCAGGACTCCCTTTCAAAGATGAACTTGGGCAGCATGCGGCCACATCCGAGTACGCACGCGTTGACATCTACAGTGGTCGTGGTCGGCGGCCTCAAGGGGTACTCGTTCAAGGCAGCTTCGGAGTGGATCGACAAGTTGATAAAGTCCCTGGAGGTCTACAAGGACAAGGAAGGAGAGGAGTTCAAAGGCTTGGTGTTTGCCAAGTTCGCGAACGAGACTGGCGCGGCCGAGGCGGTGAAAATCATGAGAGAGAAGGTGATGCAGGAGAACGTGGGGAAGGAGGCACATGAAAGGATTTGGTGCGACATCGAGGCTCCCATTGACGTGAGAGTTTGCACCGGCTTCCTCAGGAACTTCAGGAGCCAGCTCATCGAATGGAAGTTCAGCCCGGAATGCATCGAGATCGATCGACCCAATGCCACGTTGAAGGTCCAGGGGGAGGAGGTGATAAAGGTGAAGGTGGGTGGGGGCGACTTCCAGGTGGAGTGGGTGAAGGAAGAGTGGGCCCAGTGGCAGGAACTGCAATCTTCCTCGGAGTTCGCACTCGTTCTCCAGACGGCGAAGGATCGGCTTGCTAAGAGCCGCGGGAAGACGACCAGGGAGGCCGGGAAAGGCCCCGGAAAGTGACGGGGCCGAGGGCGCGCAGACGTGGTTTCACCCCGGACCAGCAGAAGCTCGGGCACGGGACCGGGGCAAGTTTATTCCGACACATTTTGGGCACCAGTTTTGAGAGACAAAGCGGTCTGTGGCTCCTGGAACGTGAAGGGGTTGACTGACCTGCGAGTTTTTTTGAATTAGTCAATCACATGCAGCAGTACGACTTAGACATTCTTTATATACAGGAGACGCGGGTGACCAACAGCAGCGTGAACACAGAGAACAGGCATATAATGATTTTGTCTGGGAGCGACAATGGTTTGAGATCGTGGGCCAGCGTTGACTTCGTCGCATCCCCGAGGCGCGCGTCATCTATGCAATATTTCCGGCAAGTGTCGGACAAGATCTGCAGCATCAAGCCTCGCGTCGGCGGAGGCGCGGTGGGCATCTTCACGGCGCATGCCCCGCACAATGGGCGGCCTTTTGATGAACGTTTCAATTTTTACACGCAGCTGGACAAAGAGCACGGGAAGTATTCGGCGAACGTTGGCAAGTTCATGTTCGGAGACTTCAACGCGAGGCTGGGTCCGCAAAGGCCCGGGGAAGAGGACGTGATAGGCGAGAACGCGTTCGGGCGAGCTGCCGCTCGACATGTGGACGCACCGAACAGGTGTCTGTTGATGGAAACGTGCATTAGCAGCGACCTCATTATTGCCAACACGTTCTGCGATGCGGATTACGAGGACAGAGCAACGCACGTGGAGCAAGGGCGTTCGAAAACAGAGGTTGTGACCGAGAACGGATTCAATATGCTGGATTTGTTCATTTGCGACGGCGTTTTCTTCACGCATGTTGCAGGCGTCCAAGCGCGCCGGGAAGCTGCGCTGGCGACAGATCACTTTTTTGGTTTGTGCGGATTTGCATTTTTCCCCGAAAAGCGCCGAGGCTCCAGCGAGGAAGCGATATAGTACAGTGGCCTTCCAGCATTCTGAGCATCGAGTAGCTTTCGCATACGCTTTCAATCATCGCATTAAAGAACGGGCAAGCGATGACACGGCCGACGTGGAGGTGACGCGGCAGGACACTAAAGCGGCGATGAAGAAGGCAGCAGAGATTTTGCCAAAGCCAGAGCGCAAGGCGAACAAGCCGTGGATCTCCGAGGAGACGCTGCGCCTGTTGGAGCTGCGAAGAGAGGCGCGGGCGAGAGAGAACAGTTCCTTAGAAAAACAAATGCGCAAAAATGCCAGGAAGCAAGCCAAGTTGGACAAGGCGCGCTGGGCAGATGAGCAGCTCCGCGCTGGAGGGCGAGGCAAATCCGCGCAGCCAGGAAGCCAAAGAAGGTCGCAAGTGGAAAGCTGAGAGACGCAAGCGGCAAGCTCGTGGACAGCGACTTCTGGGCTGACACAATGGCAGAGCATCTGGAGAAAGTTCAGTGGCAAGTCCGGCCTGCTGGTGACGTCGAAGGACCGCTTCTTGGCGATGAGCTGCCTGCGCGCACAGACCTGCTGACAGAGACGGAGGTGGGAGAAGCAATCCAGAAGCTGAAGTGCGGGAAAGCTTGTGGACCAGATGACATCCCAGGCGAGTTTTGGCGGGCTGTGGCAGACGCAGAAGATGGCTTGTCGTGGATTGCTGCTTTGTGCAATGCGTGCTGGCTTGGGGGAGAGACGCCCAAAGACTGGCACGCAGCCCTGGTGGCATCTATCCACGAGAAAGGGTCTGTGGAAGACTGCGATAACTATCGCCCTATACGCCTTGTCTGCGTGACTTACAAGCTTTTCGCCGCGGTGATTTTGAAAAGATTGAAGGCCGCAGGGGCAGAGAGGAGACTCGCGGCCACGCAGTTCGGCTTCAGGTCTGGCCGGGGCACGCAGGATGTTATACTTGCTGTGCGACGGCGTATTGATCAAGCGCTGGCAGGGCGAGATGGTCGCGCGGGAATAGTAGCTTTGGACTGGAAGGAAGCCTTCGATCCGATCAATGTCAGTGCTATGATCACAGCCCTTGGGCGGTTTGGATTGCCGCCGAAGGTCTTGAGAATGTGCGGCGCATCTACTCTGCCGGGCGATTCTCAGTGATTGGCCCCGCGCAGGAATCTGCCGAAAAAGAAACACATTCGGGGGTCTCCCAAGGGTGCCCTCTATCGCCGCTTCTCTTTGTAATGCTCATGACGGTTGTCATTCACGACGCGACGCAGCGCCTGTCGGACGCGGCGCGCCACCACATGGAGGCCGGATCTCTAGATATTTTGCTCTACGCGGACGACACTTTGCTGCTGGGGGCCGGGCAGACGCACTTGCAGGAGCTTCTGGACAGCATCGCGCGGAGCCCCGTACGGCATGGCGCTGCACTGGTCGAAGTTCCAGCTCATCTCAGTCGGCTGGGAGTTCCAGCTACAGACTCCAACTGGGGACGCCATCCCAACTGGCGAAGCCTTGCAGCACCTTGGAGTCGACATCCGTTCCGACGGGAATGTGAGTCACGAGATCCACCGCGAGATTGGTCAAGCTTGGGGGAGTTCTGCAAGCTCAATATCTTCTGGAAGCGAACTCCGCGCGGCTGCGGGCAGCAGACGTTCGCCGAGCTAGCGGCTTCTACTGCCGATGTTTGCGCGTCATTTTACGAATACAACCATCATTTATTTCGCGAATTTCAAACAAGACAGTGTTGGAGAAGGCAGGCCGGGTACAAGATCCATGCAAACTATTGCAACAACAGCTGCTATTATATGGAAGAGTGGTGCGTGCGTTGGAGGGGGGCGAATTGAAGAAGCGCACTTTCATCCCTGGAACGCACATTTCGGCAACGGAGAGATTCGTGAAGAAGGTTGGTCGCCCGAGGAACGGATGGGTTAGTCAAGTCGCTAAACACGCTGCTGTGATCGGAGAGAATGTCCATTGCGAGTCCGGTTGGAGGGCGGCGTGAGCCGGCACTGCATGTCCCAGTTGCGTCTACGCGCCTTTCGGCGTACGACTTGTGAGTGAGTGAGTGCACTCTGCGTTGTTTTTGGCCGGGATAGTTGGGGGGCGCCGCGCCAGGTTGGCCGCGCGTGCTCCAAATGTGGAGGCAGGAAGCGTTTTGTTTTGTTTTGTATTGTTTTTTTGACGGGGATTGTGGGGCGGGGGGGCCCTCATGGGGCTGGCGCGGTTCCGGGTTGGCCGCCGGCTGGGCGGGGGGCGGGGTGTATATCAATAGGGGACAGAACAATGATAAACCCAGGGAGGAGGGGCAGATGGAAAAAACAAAAAAACACTCTCGACCACCTGCGCTGTAAAGGCTGGTAAGGCTGGTGGGATTCACTGGCGGATGTTCACCAATGATTCACTGGCCGGCGGATTCACTGGCTGTCGGATTCACTGGCTGGCGGATTCATTCTGGTGGGATTCACTGGGATTCACTGGCTGGCGGATTCGCTGGCTGGTGGGATTCACTAATGGACGCTGGAGGACTTCTCAGGAAATTCCAGAACTGGCGCCCACTCCTACGGGCTACGATGTGCCCCTCAGCCGACTAACCCCAAATGGCTTTCATTTATTCCTGCTGGATCCGGTGGACAGCTTCGGATCGTAATCGCCCCCCCCCCCCCCCCCCCCCCCGCGATTTTAAGGTTTCTGTTGATGCGGCGTGATGTCACGGCGGCGATTTCACTCATGGTTGGATGCTGACTTATTTTGCAGCGTGCGGGTTCGCTGTTCAACCCAACGAATGGGTCGCCCCATGCTCGCGCCATGCGCGCGCGGGGCCATGCCGCATCAGAGCCCCCCAGCCAGAGTGACCCCCCTCACGTTGGAGAGGAAGTTTTTTGTCGGCAGGGAGAAGGCGTCGCTGTCATCCATTGAATGCGGCGTCGTTGCGGCCTTCCTGTCTTGAAATTCCGTCACCCAGCGGGCCCACGTCCGCCGCTCCGAGGTGGTCGACAGGCGGCCGCCGCGACTTTTCTTGAGCCACATCTTGAGGACCGACCAGTGGTTCTCGATACGGTTCGTCGTGAAGCCGCACTGCTTCTTGACCTCCTCCATAGAGTGGGCGGCGATCGCGTGCTGCAGGTCCCTGCCTGACCACCCATCCCTGTCCTTAGTGTGATTGGTGGCCGCGGTGGTGGCCCTCCACCCGTCCGCGGCAGCGACCATGCCCTTGCGGAGTCCCAGCGTGTCGAAGGTCGTCGCCATCCTGCTTGCTGCGGGAGCGCCCGTCGAATGCGTCCTCTGGGTGCTCCAACAGTCGGAAGACGAAGTCCACTCGGCTGCACTGCGCCACCGCGCCCCGCAGCCACACTTTGGCATTCTTGGGGCGGGCGCATGGCGCGAGGCGGCTGACTTTTTAATTTGTCGAGGAAGACCTCGTCGACCTGCGCTATGAATTTGGCTTGCTTCTTCTTAGAGGTCGACTTTGTCACGCCTTCCTTGCCCTCGGCCTCGGTTGTTTCTCGAAGGCCTCGCGCGGCTTCGGGGGGGGGGGGCTTTTGTTTGAGATGTAGGGCGCAGCTGCATTCTGGGACCTTCCCATCCTAGGGCCCGCGACGCCGCGCTGCGCGCCGGGCCCGCGCGCGATCTTCAGGCGCGGGCGTTCCCTGGCCCGCGTGGCCATGCAGCCGAAGAGCGGGCGACATGTGGGTGCTCGCGCCTGCCATCTCGGTGCCCTTCGCCATGGGGATATCGAAGTCGCCGCGCGCGTCGCAGCAGCTAGCGCGGGCGCGGCGAGGGCCCCGCTGCGCCCAGCGCCCCGCGCGGTCAGACGTTCCAGACTTCCCGTTCGTGGCGAAGTCGGCGTCGCACTCCTGACAGGAATACTCATCGGGAACCGCGCCGAAGTGTTAGGCAAAGACCATCAGCGGCGTCGTGGGGCGGTTCGGATTCGGCGACATGTCCTCGACGTCGGCGCGTTTGACAGCGGCGAGGAACCCGCTGCTCGCGTCGAAAATCGCAGCGTTTAGCACCTTCCCGAAGCTCTCAATAACGTCGCAAGTGCGCGCCGCGCCCGCCATCGCCGCGGGCGCCCCCGACATCTGCCTTGCCGACGCGCCCTCGAGCGACGCCGACTGCGGTGCAAGGGCGGCGCAGACAGCGGAGGCCTTGCGCGCAGCGACTGGGCGACGAGCGAGGGGCGGCGACGACGCCGACGAGAATTCGTTCAACTCGCCGGCTCAGGGTGCAGCGGCGCATCGCTCGCACGGGGGTTCCCCCCCGCATGGGGCGAGTTCCAATCCAGAGAACAACCGCGCAACGCGCGCATGCATCTAGAGGCGTAGTAAGCACCAAAGGGCGCGCAAGTTGGATGCACGCGCTTTTCCGCGGCCTCCCGCCGCCTCGGCCTGCGACCCCATCTCGCCTGGGACAGCGGCGCGCGCCGCCCCGGCGGCGCGCGCCACGCCCGCGCGCGGGCTGGGAGCGCCTGCGCTGCTGGCGCGTCTCATCGACCCCAGTTCCCCCGAGGCTTTCAATCATCGCCCATGCCGCCGCCCAAAGCCGATGCTTCCATTTCTCCCCCTCGGAGATCCCGGGGGGCGCGGCTGATTCTGGCTCGAGGGGTCTTTCTATGGCCTGCGTCGGCGACGCGCTCGGCCCCTCGGCCTCGGCGGGCGATCGCGAAGCCAGGCCGAGGAGGCGCCTGAAATTGTGGGCCACGGGCAACAGGCGCTCCCCCTCGGCGCCGACGAGGGGGGCCGCGGCGCGGGACATGCCCGCGCAGCTAGCTGTTGGCGCGGTCGGCGCGCCTCTCGGCCACGCAGGAGGCGCTTCAAGTAGTCCATCGACCTCTTGGCGCCGTCCTCGAAGTAGGCGGGGTGCGCGCGCTTGGTCGGACGTCTTGAACTTGCCCGGCGCTTCGTTGCACTTCTGGTGGTTCAGCAGGTCTGGCTTCTTGGGGCTGTTGTGGGTCCACTGGCGCGCGGCCCCTGTCGTCGCGCGCGCGGCGGGGGCAGGCCCGCGCGCTCGTGCAGAGCGCCAAGTGCGCCCGCGAGCCAGCGGCCAGCAAGTCCTCGTCTTCCTTCATCTGCCGAAGCGACGGTCTCAGCAGCCGCGGGAAGCTTTCGCTGCTCTCATCTTTCGGCCCCTTCCACTTGGAGACGACTTCGGCCTCGAAGTGCTCGCGGCGCGCGCTGTTGCAGACCTGGCGGGGGGATCCAACGTCGAACTCGGACGAAATCCGCCGGGCCCAGATCGCGGCGCCCTTCTCGCCCGGGCCCAGGAAGGCTTTGAGGATCTGGGGCCGACAGTCCAGACAAGTCGCCGTCGTCAGAGACGGCGGGCCCGGCACGGGGCGCAGGCCCAGTGCCGAAGATGTCGACGCGCTCGGCGGTCACGATCGTCGGGGCGAACTCGCCCGCGTCGACTTTTCCAGATTGCCCCGTCGTTTCGATCTCCACGCGGCTCATCTTGAGCGCCAGGATCTCCGACCTGGCGCTCTCCCCGACGCGCGCCTCGCCACTCCGCGCCTGGCGCCGCGCCGAAGGCCTTGAGTCAGGGCCCGGATCGCGGCCCCCCGCGTCGCGGGCCATTCGCGCGTGCCCTGCCGCTCGCGCGATTGCTCGGGGATCTCTCGACGCGCCGCCCCCCCCCTTCCCCGCCCCCGTCCAAAGGTGGGAGATTCTGACCGCGCGCTCCCCCGACCCGTGAACTCATTGGTTCGAATTGTTTGCGCCCGGCTTCCTCGCGCCCCAATTCGGCCGTTTTCCTGGAAGGCCCCCTTTTGCCAGGCTTCGGGGCCACGGCGCGGCGGCGCAGCTGGTCGCCCTCCAGCTTCTTCCAGCGCGCGTTGGACGGCCAGGCGGCCAGTCCCGCGCCGGCTGCCAGGGCGCCGCATCATGCAAGTCTCTCGACACGTCATCACGCGCAATTATTGTTCTGGTCGGCGCCCCCCTCATGAGGTTCACGTCTTTCAAGATGCCCCGTCGGGCTTCTTGACGACGAGCGCTCGCGTAGAGCACTGGCCAGGCGGCTCCTTTTTCAGGGGGGAGGGCTCTGGCATGCCTTTGAAGGTGCACTTCTTCGCGCGCGGAGAGTTCCCTGACTCATGCCCGGCGGGGTTTGGCTTGGGGTTGGGGTTGGGGTTGGGTCTGGGTGGAATCTCATTGCAATCGCAATCCTAATGGGATAGGAATCCTTTAACATGCAATAGCATTCTATAGAATTCCATCGGGGCCTAACAGAATCCCACAGGGATTCTATAGCATTCCACAAAGGGTCCTACATAATGTTCTAAGGGTCGAGTCGGATTCCATATGGGGCCCTATAAGATGCCAGAAAGGGGTCCTATAGCATTCCATGGAGATGCCATCGGATTCCATGAGGATCCTGTCGGGTTCCGTAGGGATCCAAGAAGGTTCCATAATAATCCTTCAAGATTCCATAGTGATCCTTTAGGAGGCCCTACGGACCCTATAGGATCCCATCAGGATCTTATACGATGCCATAGAGATCTTGTAGGATCTCATCGGGATATTAGATTATCCTTGTAGGATCCTATAACATGAAATAGGGGTCCTGTAGGATTCCATGAGGTCCTATAGGATTGCACAAAGATCATTGAGGATTGCACAAAGGTCCAATAGAATTCTGTCGGGATCCTATATGATTCCTTAGAGATCCCATACGAATCTTTGAGGGTCCTATAGGATCCCATTGGGATCTCATAGGGATCCTATAGGATTCCAAAAGGATCCGATCGGATTCCATATGGATCTTATAGGGTTCCACCGGGATCTTATAGGATTCCACCGGGACCCCATAAGACTCCATAGGATTCGTGTAGAAATCCATAAGGATGCTATAGGATTCTATCGGGGTCCTACAGGATCCTATAAGGACCTGGAGGATTCCATAGGTATCCTATAGAAACCCATGTGGAGCCTACAAACTTCCATCGGAACCCGAAAGGCGTCTGAAGGGATCCGACGCCCGTCTGGACGGCCAAAATTGCGAACGCGGAAGAGTAGCGGAGAAATAACCTTACGGACAGAATGGCGCCGGCCATAGGTCAGGTGCGAAATAGGCTTAGCTTGTATTACTTTTCTGTATACTTGCATTGAGGGCCCAACACAAGTACAGGCCATTGAACATTCGAGCTCCCAGCCATAAAAAGGTGCAACCGCATTATTAGTATTATTATCTCTTTTAAGAAATATGTTGCTACTACTACTACTACTACTACTACTACTACTACTACTACTACTACTGCTACTACTACTACTACTACTACTACTACTACTACTACTACTACTACTACTACTACTACTACTACTACTACTACTACTACTACTACTACTACTACTACTACTACTACTACTACTACTACTACTACTACTACTACTACTACTACTACTACTACTACTACTACTACTACTACTACTACTACTACTACTACTACTACTACTACTACTACTACTACTACTACTACTACTACTACTACTACTACTACTACTACTACTATCACTATTAGTTTTGCTATTATTATTACTAGTGCGACTACTACGACGACTACGACTACTACGACTACTACTACTACTACTACTACTACTACTACTACTATTACTACTACTACTACTACTACTACTACTACTACTACTACTACTCGTTACTACTATTACTACGACTACACTACGACTACTACTACTACTACTACTACTACTACTACTACTACTACTACTACTACTGCTACTACTACTACTGCTACTAGTACTACGATTACTACTACTTTTACTACCACTACT